CTTCCTTCCTTCCTTCCTTCCTTCCTTCCTTCCTTCCTTCCTTCCTTTCTCGTGGTTAGAATGCAGTATTGGAGGCTGACTCTGCCCACTGCCAGGAGTTCCATCCTCACCAGGCTCCAGGTTGACTCAGCCTTCCCTCCTTCCCAGGTGGGTCAAATGAGGACCCAGATTGTTGGGGGCCAGAGGCTGACCGTCAGCCTTCCAGAACCCTCCTTCTGCTTGTCTTTCCAGCTGCCATAGAAAGGGGGGGAAGGGAAAATTAATTGGGCTTTGTGGAGGGGGAAGAGTGCTGGAGGCTTGAGAGGGTGAATTGTAAAACTTGAGTAAACTTTCTTACTTGCTTATTGCGCAGCTGTAGCTTCTTATCTAAGCAGACCAAGGCCAACCACCCTGGGGAGCCAGATGTGTGAAACGCCACCTGACGATGCTCCACGTGACATTATACACATCTCAGATTGGATGGCCAGTCTGAACTGTTGGGGGTGGGAACATGGGATAGCTTTCTATATGTGATTTTCATGCCTAACGCCTCAGATCTTGAATTCTTCTGATGCTCCCACTTCAATTTCCTTTTCTCCAAAACAATGGAGTCTAAGGTTTTCTTCCTTGGATTTTGAATGGAGCCTCACTTTTGACTCCATAAACCGCTTAGAGAGGGCTGTAAAGCACTGTGAAGCGGTATAGAAGTCTAAGGGCTACTCCTATTGCTATCTTACACTCCTGAGAAGCAGGCCCAGAGTGGGGCCAAACTGAACCCAAGACCCACCCCAGTCCAAACCCACCACCCTGGAGAGGTCAATCTGAGCAGGCCAGATGCTCCAATCAATCCCCAAACCTGGGCTCCTCTCCTGATTAGCGCTGCACCCAAGGAAGGGCAGTGCTACTTTAACCAGCATGGAGGCATCGCGCCCCTTTCGGTCCCTGGCAAGGTGGGGAGGCTGTTGGGTGCAGAGCACAACAAAAGCCACTGTGGGAAGAACAAGCCATGGACACAAAACCTTCCCCAGCTGCACAAAAGCCGAAAGGAAAACCCAGAGTTCAGGCCATGCGCAAATAGGAAACACTGAAACGTGGAACGCTGTTTGGCAGCAATTTGGCCTTCTGGATTGTAAAGTCTTTCCTGTGGAAAGACCTGCTCCCCTCCAGCAAGGCCCATCCGCAGCCCTTTCCGAGTCTCTCAACTCCCTCCCTTCTCCTGCTGCCGCTTTCTGCCTCTTTCACCAGGCCTTTCAAAGCAGTGAAAAGCTGCATTTGTGCCTTTGGATTCCAAAAAGCCAGAAAAACCAGCACCTGCTCTCTCCTCCTGGACTGAGCGGTCAGGGGGCTGCAATTGTGCACAAACCGTTGTGCAACCGTTCCTGTTTTTCTTAGATCAAAGGTCCTGAAATAGTCCAGCAGAGATTTCTTCATCTTATGTTACTTACTGCATATTTGAATTACTTTATTCAAATAAAGAGGAAAGTCACGCTTCAGTGTACAATTGCTTTTAAAACCAACAAATCTATGAACTGCAATAAGGGAGCTTGTCATGTCGTGTTCACGGGTAGCCGAGTCCTGTGACTTTCCTGTGCCTCTGAGAAAGGAAGGCAAGATTCCTCTGAAACAGATGCCTTTATTCGTGTCGTCCCCTTAAAAGCAACAACAGCGGAGCTGGGGTGCAGGAGAAGCACCGGTCAACGTCATGGACATCTGAATGTTGCAGAAGGCCCTTTGAGGGGGGACTTTGAGGGGGCCACTTGGGTATATAATATTTACAGTACTAAAAAGGCAAACTGCTTTGCCATTGAACCGTGAGCTGAGAATCTACGTGGCCCCTTAATAGCCAAAGGGAGACAAGACAAGATCTAGATTTTGCCTGTTCTCCTTGGCTCAGCCCTGCTTGGGTTACCTCAACCTTGATTTCACAAGTTGCTGGTTGGTTGCAAAAGATCAAAGCTCTCCAAGAGCGAGATCCTTTTATCTCCACTGGCTTTAACCCATGATCCTAAGATGGCAAGCCAAGATAACAGCTGGAACCCAAGAGGTTTACATGAGAAGTGTGGAAAATGAGTTTTGAGGGAAGAGGATAATTGGAGGGATTTCTGGGAGCTGAAGTCCTCCAGGCTTAAAGCTGCCAAGGTTGGAGACCCTTGTTCTAAGGTCCCTTCCAATCCTATCACTCTATGTTCTACAAAGCTCTTTCTAGGCTGCGAATCACCGTACTCAGTCCTTCAGGCTATCTTTGTGAAATTTGACTCAGCTCCCTGGGCCTCAAATCCCTGGGCCACTTCAACAACACTCCCACCGTCACCCTTGAATCTTTACTGGTCTGGATGCCCACCGGGTCTCTCAAACGACAATCAAAGGCAGCAGTGCCCCACAGCGGGAATTCAGCTTTAGAGATGCTAAGGCATCGGCCCGCGTGGGGCCAATGTTAACAATGGCCATCGGCAACTTCCTGTCCCGGGCAGCAAGTGCAAATTTGTAAGCGGAGAAGACCTGCCAGACACAAAGCAAACATTTGTCAGAGGAAGTGAAGCAAATGGCTGACAAGCTCTAAGCCTGTGATGGCAAACCTATGGCACGCGTGTCACAGGTGGCACGCAGAGCCATTTGTGCCGGCACACGAGCTGCAGGCAAACTTACCTCACTGCACATACGTGCACCTCACATCTGATTTTCGTCCGGTTTGAAGCCTTTTTCGTCCTCCCAGACGCTTTAGGAAGGCTTCTGCAGGCTTTTCAGGATGAAAATTAGGCCTGTTTCATCACTTCCTGTTTTTCTGGAAATACTGGAAGTGACAAAACGGGCCTAGTTTTCGTCCTGAAAAGCCTGCAGAAGCCTTCCTAAAGTCTCTGGGAGGCTGAAAAAGGCCTCAAATTGGCCCAAAATCAGCTGTGAGGCGCAGTGCAGGTAAGGGGGTGGTGGGGTGAGGGGGGGATTGCACACACATGCGTAGGGGGTGTGGGGAGGCGTGTGTTGCCTTCTGGGTGCTGGCACATACGCGCGAGCGTGCAAGTGCACGCACAATTTTTGGCACAGGAGCCCAAAAAGGTTAGCCACCACTGCTCTAAGCCAAGGCTCTTCAAACTTGACAGCTTTAAGACTTGTGGACCTCCAACTCCCAGAATTCCTGAGCCAACATGAGTGGAGGAGGGATTCTGGGAGCTGAAGTCCACAAGTCTTAAAGCTGTCAAGTTTGAAGAGCTCTGCTCTTCCTATCCGGGTGCCCTCTGGATGTGCTGACACACAACACCAAGACTCTCAGCCAGCACAACCTTGGGCCAATTCTGCTTTACGGATTAGGCAGCTCAGCAACTTTCAAAGGTGTGTGGACTTCAACTCCCAGAATCCTCCAGCCAGGCATACTGGCAGAGAGATTCTGGGAGTTGAGGTCCACGCATATCTTAAAAGTGGCTGAGTTGAGAAAACACTGGATTGTTGTTGTTAGTTGCAAAGTCATGTCCGACTCATTGCGACCCGATGGACAACGTTCCTCCAGGCCTTCCTGTCCTCTACCATCTTTTGGAGCCATTTAAGCTCACGCCGATTGCTTCAGTGACTCCATCCAGCCCCCCCCTTCTCTGCCGTCCTCTTCTTCTTCTTCTTTGGCCCCCCATCTTTCCCAGCATTAGGCTCTTCTCCAGCGATTCCTTCCTTCTCATGAGGTGGTCAAAGTTTCATCTTCAGGATCTGATCTTCTAAAGAGCAGCTGGATTAGATACCTAAAGGCTATTAAGCAGGAGGACTTGGGGGGTGGGTGTGAGGGTGTGGACCAGGGGTTCAGATGGGGTTCCAAGTAAACAGAGGAGCTTGCGCCTTCATTGGTGGAGCAATCTGCAGATGGGCTTGGCCACGGGAGGAACAATAATAGATACTCAAGTAGGACCATTAAATCCCACTAGCCTGGCCCTGGGCCCAGTTTCTCATGGCTTGTCATGGCTTGTTCTAGTGAGGAGCCCTGGAAGAAAGGACGCCACTGGGTGTCGATCTCCCTTCTAGTCTTGCTCAGTAGCCACCAGGGGGCGTCTTCAAAAACTTTAGCAAAGGGTTCTCTGCTTGGTTGCTGGGTGGGCGTCACCAGGGTGGGCGTGGCCTAGTTGGCCTCCTGCACCACGGCAGGAGGGGGGCATGTTTTTGCCCTCTCCAGGCTCCTGAGGCTTTCCTCGAGCCTCCAGGAGGGTGAAAATGGCTTCCCCAGGCTCTGGAGGCTCTCTGGAAGCGGAGACGGGCCCATTCCCAGCCTTCCCAAACTTCGGGGGGGGTGGTGGCTTTTTTGCCCTCCCCAAGTCCCTGCACTCACCCTGCACTTACCTGCATCCAAAATGGGCTGCGTGGGGACTCCTGGGAGGGGAGGGGTGGGCGGGGCCAGCCTATTCTATTCTATTCTATTCTATTCTATTCTATTCTATTCTATTCTATTCTATTCTATTCTTTCTATTCTATTCTATTCTATTCTATTCTATTCTATTCTATTCTATTATTATTCTATTCTATTCTATTCTATTCTATTCTATTCTATTTCTATTTCTATTTCTATTCCATTCTATTTCTATTCCATTCCATTCCATTCCCTATTCTATTCTATTCTATTCTATTCTATTCTATTCTATTCCATTCCATTCCATTCCATTCCATTCCATTCCATTCTCTTTCCTATTCTACTCTACTCTACTCTACTCTGTTCTGTTCTGTTCTGTTCCATTCCACTCCACTCCACTCCACAACACTCCACAACAGAACAGAACATACCATTAATTCTTTCCGTTATTCTATTCTATTCTATTCTATTCTATTCTATTCTGTTCTGTTCTGTTCTGTTCTGTTCTCTACTCTACTCTACTCTACTCTACTCTACTCTACTCCACTCCACTCCACTC